CGCTATCCTCTGGATAGAATATTGCCCTGATTGTAACAATGCTAGGGTAGATGTGGATCCTGAAGCTGGTATTCATGACTACTGTGACCTGCATTTCTTTGAGTCTGAATGTTTGCTTAGGATTTATTCTTGTTCCTGATGTGACACATATGATAAGGAATTTATAGCAAAAACTGAAGCTTTTAGTTTCTCTTACTCTGCTTTTAATAATTATTATGTTTTATTTGTTTTAAATATTTGTTTTATTTTAGAGAATGTAACCGGCGCCGTAATGATTCCTCTTCGGATAGTTAGTTCTTGGCGATGGGGAACGATACTTCTCTTCTTCTTCTTCTTTTCTTCATCCTACAATAGCACCAGGCCTCTGGCTACATTGCCGATAGTACAAGACCATTGTCTTCTATCAGGAACGTCTATCATAAGCTTTCTTGAACTCTTCTTTCGTGAAGAGCTTTCCTTGGCGTAACAATAAAGGTTGCGATAATGATAAAGATCGTAAAGGTGTTTTATATTCATTAAAGTAATAAGTAGGAAAAGTACTTAGAATTCAATCTAATTTTATGTAAACTGGTAACACTAACACTAGTATACGATCAGCTCTCACCAGGACAGGGATACTGCTAACAGGTATACTACTAATCCTAAGGTAACTAAGTCTACAGCCCCACACCTACCATCCCCGAGTCATGCCCACATGGAAACGAATTACAAGACCATCAAACAACCCTGCACCTACCTTGGTCCAAGTCCGTAGCCCCTCTGGTATGAAGCCAACTAGCACTAGGCATAGTCGAAACTGAGCAAATGACCGACCCAACCAGGTTCCTGATCCAACAGACATAAAGTTACTACCACCAGGTCTGAAATCCGTCTTGTGAAACTTCCTCCACAGTAGAAAACCAACAAAACCCAAACTAAATCTACAGGCGATACAATGGCAAGGAGGAGGCAAGCAACATGTGAACCTCTCGTGCCCACATGCCAGGCCGTCAACCCAATGAAACCAGTTTGCTAGTTGCCTCCAAAGAGCGTACTGGTGAGGAGGATCTGTACCCGCTACCTGTCCCCTAAACAAAACATTGTGAACATAGATACTGTAACGATCCCTCCTGGGATGGTTAGTTCTTGTCAACATGGAACAATACTTCTCTTCTCTTACTTCTTCTTCCTTCGTCTTATGATAGCGCTAGGCCTCTGCCTACGTTATGATAGTACAAGACCTTTGTCTTCTATCAGGGACGCCTATCGTAAGCTTTCTCTAACTCATCTTCGTGAAGAACTTTCCTTAGCGTAACAATAACGTTGCAATAAAGATAAAGGTCGTAAAGGTATTTTTATATTCGTTAATGTAATAAGTAGGAAAAGTACTTAGAATAAAGCATGAAGAACCTATCCTCCTAGGCCGCATCAGCCTCCTTATATAGTATTCTTCCCGCCTATAGTCATGTGACCCAAAGTGATCACATGTGCGAAACCAAATCATAACAAACTAGTCATGTGACCAAAGTGGTCACATGCTCAAAACCCATGACCTCGTAGCGAGGTCATGTGTAAAAACTCATAAACCAATCATAACACAATAAACAAGTCATATGACTCGACTGAGTCATATGTGTGAAACCCATGACCTTATAATCAGGTCATGTGTGAAACATAAACCATATGTACAAGGCTTACCAGCAAGGCACACTCACAAGACATACTCACCAGGCGTATGTTCCATGACTCATATTTGAGCAATGTATGAAAGCAGCACAAATCCCATACATAACAAATCATATGACTCAAATGAGTCATCTGTGTGAAACAATAATATACCAGTGACTCATAACCATGTGTCACATGAAAACCTTTTTTATGCCAAGCCTTGTTAGTGACATTAGCTCCCCTCCTCCTAAGCTTGAGTCCCATCAGGCTTTTTCTCACAGTTTCAATAGTTCCCGTCCTGCTGAGCGCATGGTCCTTCTCAGCTTGTGGAATCTTTCGTCTAATGTCTTCCATCTGACCCTAACGGATTCTAGGATCATTTTCGCCATTTCAATCGTGTGCCGCTGATTATCATTCAGCTGTCTTACCTCTGTGATTGTTTTGTTGTTTGCCGAAATTGTGGCCTCAACCTGGCCAAGTTGTTCTCGGAGTCCCCGGATTTGCCTGTATAGGCTCCTGATGTCCAGTTCCGTATCTGCTGAGGAGTTTTGGGCCCTCCCTTCCCTGGACTGCGTCCTCGCGGCCCATGTCTTTCTGGCATCTTCTCCTTTCAACTCTTTCCTGCTTTCATTCTTTTGCAGGTAGTATCCCCCCGAGATTTTCTGTATCCTGTGTATCCTGCACCCATTTCTGAAGCATGAATGCCAATACTTCAGGATGTGGTCCGGGCGTGGACTATGCTTTCGACATTTCCTCGGGAACCATCCTACGCCTTCTTTGTCGCCAAAATGTATTTGGCAACCATTATTATTGCATACCATCCATGACATTGCGTTATGCTATGCTTGTTTTTCTCTTTCCTTTAGTTCTGCGTCGGTTGGCCCCATGAATGAGTATTCAGGGCTGGTCGGTATAGTTTGCCGGGGGCTATCGCCTCAGCCCTCGTGTTGTTGCAATGGCATGGGAGCCTTTCCCTCACCTTTTTCTTGGTTGAACGTGATCGTTACCTGGGCTGGGCATGCCTGGTTATCGCTAGTAGAAGGTTGAGATGGTATCTTGTGCGTGTTCAAAGTTGTGTGCGAAGTACCAAGTTTTATTGTATTTGGGCTAATCTCTCGTCCACTTGGCTCGGTATTGGAGGTGACCATGGAAGAAGCAGGAATCAACAATTTCGTCGAGCTCATATTCTGGTTCTCTGTCGAGTTCGATTGTAGGGGGAGGAATAATTGTTTGTGAGGGAAACTTGTTGTCGTTGTGCAATTTGAGGAGTGAGATGTGGAATGTGTTATGTATTCACATCGAGGGTGGAAGGTCGAGTTTATAAGCTCAGCTACCCACTCTTTCCAGTATCCTGAATGGTCCGATTTTGTTGTAATCTAATTTCCTTGATGGTCACGTCGTATAGATATTGCCTGGTATTAGCCATACCATATTGCCTAGTTGTATGTTTTGATCTGGCCTTCGGTGCTTATCGCACTGTTCTTTTTGTCATTGTTGTGCTTGACTCATTTCGTATTGTAATGTCTCATGTAGTTTTCCCATCTCTGTTTTGTCCGGTATTATACCATTAAACGTATGATATGTGGTTGAACTTTGTGGATGTTGTCCATAATTCATGAAGAAGGGTGTCGTGCCGATCATTTCTTGCTTTCCCTTCTTGTATGCGAATTCGACCATTGATAGCAATTTGTACCAACCATCTTGTTGGTAATTGAGGTAGGCCCTTAAATATTGTTTTAGTATTGCATTCACCTGTTCCATTTGTTCATCCATTTGTAGGTGGAATGCTGTGCTCATTCTGTTTTGTATCCCCATTTCTCTGGTTACTTCCTTCCATAGTCCCGATGTGAATAGTGTTCCTCGATTGGTAATGATATTCTTTGGGAGGCCATGAAGTGGGAAGACTTCTCGGAAGAATGTTTGTATAAAATCTCTCGTGTCGATATCTTTTATGACTGGAATGAAATGACTCATTTTAGTCAGACGATCCACCACGATCAGGATGATATTGCAATTTTCTGATGCCAGTAGGTCCGTGATGTAATCGATAGTAATTGTTTCTCCAGGTCGTTCAAAAATTCGTTCGATTTCAGTAATCCATACGGTGCGTGTTTAGCCGTTTTCGGCCTTTGGTATACCTCGTAGTTTTTGACATATCGTTTAATATCTTCGCGTAGTCCTGGCCAATAGAATGACCCCATAATGAATTCCGTAGTTTTAGCCATTCCTCCGTGTCCTGCCATTCAGATATTGTTGTATTGTCGTATGATGTCTGTCCGTATCTCTTCTTTTTCTGGAATCCATTGTTTTTCATCATACTACATGTTTCCATTCTTCTATTGGCATAAACCCAGAGCAATTCCTTTCATTTCCTTTTTTCCTTCCTTCAATGCTTCTCTTATTGCCTGAATTGTTTTGTCTCTTTCATTTGCCTTCTCAATTTCCCTTTCCTCAGTTGATGTGAATTGGATAACCTCTATCGCTTCAAAGTAGGCTTTTGGTAATAGTGTTAGTATTTTTTGTTTGATTCTTTTGTCTTCCTTCGTTTGTAGTTTGTCGTTTGCAATCCTTGTCAGAGCATCTAGCTTTCCACTCTCTTTTCCTGGTCGGTATTCAATTTTGAAGTTGTATTTGCTAAGGTGTTCCATCCACCTTATTTGGTGGTCGTTCAGTTCTTTCATAGTCATGAACAGGATCAGATTCTTATAGTAGGTTAGAACTCGGACTGGATGGTCGTTGTTCCAAATGTATCTCCTCCCTTCCTTTAATGCTTGAACTATTGCCAATAGTTCTTTGTTCAGAACATTGTAGTTGCACTCTGCGGGGGATATTGTCTTAGATCGGTAAGACACTGGCCTCTACTTTCCGTCTTCGCATTGTTGCATTAGTGTGCCTGAGCACACATATTTTGATGTGTCCGTTTCGATCATTGTCCTTCAGTTTGGGTCGAAATGAACCAGTATGGATGCCGAGGTTAGATGCGTTCATATTGCATCATATGCTTTCTGTTCCATTTCTCCCCATTCCCATTTCTTGTCTTTCTTTGTTAGGTTATAGAGTGGTTTTGCAAGCCTGCTAAATCCCTCTATGAACCTTCGATAAAAGTTGCAGAATCCCATAAAGCATTGAACATCTGTTTTGTTGTTTGGTTTGGCCCAATCCTATATTGCTGCCGTTTTGACTGGGTCAACCTTAACTACGCTTCGATTAATGATAAATCCAACGTATTCAGTTTCCTCTTTATGGAATTCGCATTTTCTTAGTTTGATCTTCATTCCTGATCCTTGTTTTGCGGCCATGATATTGCTAACATCCTTCTGGTGTTATTGCATGTTTTCCAAGTAGATGAGTACATCATCCAAGTATATGATGCAATATATGTCGAGGTACTTATTGAGTACCTTGTTGATCCATCTCTAGAATGAAGCTGGTGCATTGGTTAGCCCGAAAGACATAACTAAGTATTCAAACATTGCGTATCTTGAGGCGAATGTAGTCTTCCATTCGTCTCCTGCCTTGATGCGTATAATGTAGTATGCTTTCTTGATGTCGAGTTTGGTGAAGTATTTTGCTGACCGCAGTCGGTCCCGTGCTTCTCCAATCAAGAGTACTGGATATCGATCTTTCTTGGTAACCGAATTGAGGGCTCGGTAGTCCATACATAGTCTCATTTTTCCATCTTTCTTTTTGACGAATAGTATTGGGGATCCTCCTGATGTGAAGGAGTCTCTAATCCATCCTCGCTTTAGGTTCTGCTCGAGGTACTCCCTAAGTTCTTCGAGCTCTGCTGTTCCTAGTGGATATAACTTCTTGCATGGAATCTCTTTTGCTTTTCCCATTTTCTTGTCTTTGTCCAGCTGAATTTCGTGATCGATTTTGGGTCTTCCAGGTCATAGCTCCATAGCTTCCTCTTCTGGGAATAGGTTCTTGAATTGATGATATTCCTTTGGAATCAATTCTTTCCATCCCTTTTTGCTTTGGTATTTTTTGTCTTGGATTTCTAGTTCCATGGTGAGGTTGATTTTCGCTAGGACTGCTTTTTCGTCTTCGTAAGTCCATTTGAGAATTCCTGTTGTATCTCCTCTTCGATAGTACTGTCCAAAGGCTTGTGCCTGTTATGGTTTCTTCCAGCTGATCTACTTCGTGCAGATCTTCTTGGTTGATTTTTTCGATAATCAACTGTGCAATTCAATCGCCCTTTTGGACTTTGTAGTTCTCTCAAGCTAGGCTTGCCAGGACCACTTTGATTTCACCTGTATAGTCAACGTCTATCACCCCTGCCATGATCATAAGTCGATGTTTAACTGCTAGACCACTACCGGGTGCTATTCGTTCATAGGTACCTTCTGGTAGTCCGATGGCTATTCCTGTTGCTCTCATTGCCTGCCCATTAGCAGGTATCTTGATTCCTTCGTTAGCATACATGTCATGTCCTGCTGCCCCTTTGGAACCTTTAGTAGGCACTTTTGCCTCTTGGTCCAGTTTTTGTATCCAGACTCTCTTATCTTGCCGTATCACGGCGAACTTTGCATACAAAGTTTCTTCTTCCGCTTCTTGTATGGTGTTGAGTAGACTACAGGCGAACTGTTCAGACATCATATCGCACATAGTTCGCATGTAAAGGTTATCTTGTTCTTGTACCAATTGATTGTCGGATTATGTTTTCGCAACCATGGCATCCCAAGCACTATCTCATGGTTCTTGAAGTCTGCTACCTGAAAGCTTGCCATTTCCCTATGGCTGTCAATGTCCATAGGTACTGTTGCTGTATGAGTTATAGAACCTATTGTGCTTGGCTTTCTATCTGCTAGGTAGACTTGTCTCGCTTTCGTCACTTGTTTGATGGGGAGGCAGTATTTGTTGCAGATTTCCTTATCGATGAAATCTTCGATAGCCCCACAGTCGAGCATTGCGTATATTGTTATTTCTTCATTTTCTTCCTTGTATATCTTCGTCTTGATCATCACATGATCTCTGTCTTCTTCTCCTCTTTGCGTGTGTAGTGCCATGTAGTAGTTCGCTAACTTGATGGATTTTCCAGGTTCACATCTTGGGTCTCCCTGATCACCGTTTACTGAGAACCCTGGTCGTTTTCCGCCAGTGAATCTTCTGCCATCATTTCACGAATGTTGCTCCTCTTTTAATTTTGGAAGCGCTTATTTGCAGCAGCTTTAGTGCCTTGGTACCGGCTGTCAGGTCAGCTTCTGCATTCTCGTATCTATTGTCCTTCTTTTCCGCACCTTAGGCAGAGTTTCCCGTTCATTCTTCTGGCGTATTCTTCCTTAGACAGGTTCAGAGCAGGTCCTGCTCTTAATTTGTCTAACTCCATTGGCTCGCCTGGTGGTAATTCTCGACTTTCACCTCTAGCTGCTTGCGGTTTGAACGTTCCGTCCACATTCCTGGATGATTGGACCACCCTGTGGGCTATAGTGTTTTCTGAGTTGCTTCGAATCATGTTTCATTTGCTTTCCTTATCGATCGCCCATCTTGCAAATCATTCTGCTATTGTGTAGCGTAAGTCGGAGATTCCTCATGCCTCTCAGTGTCTCTCGCTGCAGTTTCTTACGAGCATGATGTAGAGAGTAGCATCATCAAATTCGGCCTCGTATTCTAGTAGTCGGTATTAGTTCCAGTTTGCCGAGAAGGTTTGCTTTCCTTGTTGGAGTTTCTCCCACTTTCATCTTAATGTCTCTTTGGTATTGGAATCTCCGAATCGCTCAAAGAGTTTCGCCTTGAACTCTTCGTATGTGGCCCATCCCCTGTGTTTTCTTCCATCTTGAAAGTGCATGATAAATTGCCTTGCGAGTCCTCTTGGTAGAGATTCCACATATGGAATCTTGATCTCATCGTGGTGTTTTCCATGTCACTTAACAGCCAAATATCCTTTGCACTGTGCCAAGAATATTCGTAGCTTATCTTCAGCTCCTTCGTATGTGTCGGATTCTTTTGCTTTCGTTTATTGGATGTTTCCTTGTCCTGTGTTTCGTATTGCTGCTAGAAATGCTTGAAATTGATTGTCAGTCATTCCAAGTATGCTAGTGCCTGGTACGGGAGCAGCAGAAGCCAGCGGCCTAGGTACTGCTGAGCCTGACATTCTCTCGGGTCGTGGAGTTCCTACAGGGGAGCTATTGACTGGTGATCCTTTCTCTGGTGCTACTGGGCTTGCTGCCCTTGAGAGCTCTGCTGAAACCTGATCTAGGGCGTCGCTGAATCCCCCTAGGTTGAGGTTTTAGTCATCGATCTTGATATCTCCTTCCCTATCTGTGTTGAAGGATGCCGTCTTGTATCGTTTGACATCGCACTTAGGTGACACATTGTAATGTAACGATCCCTCCTCGGATGGTTAGTTCTTGGCAATAGGGAACGATACTTCTCTTCTCTTACTTCTTCTTCCTTCGTCTTACAATAGCGTTAGGCCTCTGCCTAAGTTACCGATAGTACAAGACCTTTGTCTTCTATCGGGGATGCCGATCGTATGCTTTCTCTAACTCTTCTTCATGAAGAACCTTCCTCGGCATAACAATAACGTTGTAATGAAGATAAAGATCGTAAAGGTGTTTTTATATTGGTTAATGTAATAAGTAGGAAAAGTACTTAGAATAAAGCGTGAAGAACCTATCCTCCTCAGCTGCATCTGCTTCCTTATATAGTATTCTTCCCGCCCATAGTCATGTGACCCAAAGTGGTCACATGTGCGAAACCAAATCATAACAAACTAGTCATGTGACCAAAGTGGTCACATGCTCAAAACCCATGACCTCATAGCGAAGTCATGTGTAAAAACTCATAAACTAATCATAACACAATAAACAAGTCATATGACTCGACTGAGCCATATGCGTAAAACCCATGACCTCATAATAAGGTCATGTGTGAAACATAAATCATATGCGTAAGGCTTACCCTCAAGGCACACTCACAAAGTATACTCGCCAGGCGCACGTCCCATGACTCATATTTGAGCCATGTGCGAAAGCATCACAAATCCTACACATAATAAAATTTATGACTCATAACCATGTGTCCAGTGAATACCTTTTTCATGCGAAGCCACGTTCGTGACTGATACATAGAGGTAGTAACAGACCAAGAAGGTCAGTGGGGCCTACCTCCTACTCATGGTGCCATGCCTCCTCCTGCCAAACCCACAGCCAAACCAAACAAACTAAACAAATCCCACAAAGCCCAGCGCACACAACCCAAACAAGTCCAACCAGGTGGTCACAACCAACTATCAGTACAGGTGGCCATCAACCCATCGGTCCGCCGAGGAGCTTTGCAGTACTCAGCAACTTCATTCAACAGCTCTGACTGGGCTGAAAACACTTAATTAGACCTCGCCCAACGTGGCCCAGGCCTGACCGGTACTTGCAGGCGCCTCCCCCCACCTAATCAGCCCCTCCCAAGTCCCACACACCAGATGCCACAGAGCTTATCCAGCCCCCCAGCCCCTCAGACAGATCAACTACCCGATAGCCACCGGACAGCCTATACCTAGCCCTGCCAGGTAGCTACTGGTCTTAGCCACAACAACAGAGCCCCAACCCCCAGTACTTCGCAGCCAAGAATGGCCCCCCAACCACAGCCAGGGGCCATAAAGGAGCCAGCACCAGTACCCAAAGGTACTGGCATCAGCCATACCATCCAACCCAGTCGAACCAAAGTCCAACCAAGCTGGGAAAGAGTAGGTAGAGCCAGGTAATGACAGCCCCAGAGGTCCGGCAACAGGCACAGACTGAACAGCAGGCAAGGGGCACCTCCAACAGATATGACATGAAGGGGAAGGGCGAGTGAACAGAAGCAGATAAAAAGAAGGTAGACCCCACTTGCAATATGTGAAGCCGCCAACTACAATCAACAACCAAACTACCCAAACGCACAGACAACCCGAGTGTCTGGCAGCCAACCGTCCCACTCCACCACAGGCAGCGATAACCACCACACCAGGGTATAACATTTTCCAGGGTCAAAGGCATCCCCACTGAGGTGAGGAGGAGACCCTTGACTGAATCACTTTAGATGCCACAAGGACAAAACCTTCAGGAAAACAGTAATAAACAATATCATAGGATTCCGACCGTAGAAATGTAAAGTTATGAGGAGGGGCTGGACAGGGACTGCCCAGCCACTTGAGGAATGATGTGGCCGGTACAATAAGTTGAACTTGGGAAGGTCATCAGTCTAACCCAAGGGCGTTTTGTATCGCAAGAACTAAGGACTCTGTTAAAACCCAACAACTATGAGCTGGCCCAAAGAACGACACGGATGGTCTCCACAAATACAATGTTCCATCCTCCCCAATCGAATACGAGACCTCCAAGTAGGCTATAGGCAGGAAGCCGTAGACATTGTACTGAAAGGGGCTTGTAAGCAATCGTGATGAAGTGCTCAAAGTGCCAGCATCGTGAGATAACCAGCTAGCAAAGAAAACGAGAA